TGGCAACCTAAAATGACTATAATTATAGTTGTTATAACCATAAAATAGTTGAAATTACCATAAAAATGGTTCAAGTGACTATAAATTTATAGTTATATTAATTATAGTCACTTGAACTATTTTTATGGTAATTTCAACTATTTTATGGTTATAACAACTATAATTATAGTCATTTTAGGTTGCCAATTATAAATACAATGTCAATTTAATACTATATAGTATCAAATTGACACGATATAGAGTCAAATTTAACTATCGTTTTGGTAAAAAGTAATGATATGATCGAGTAGGAGCAGTGGCGACTAACGTTTAGTTAAATTTGACACTATAGATTTAAGAGTGTACAGAGACATATTTGTTCCCGTTTTAAGCTACATTCGGAAACTTCACCAGAGTGTCATTTTATCCTTGTTTAACGTCTAACAATAGAGATAGAATGAGATGCGCCATAGGGCACTCAAGTGAAGTTTCCGAACGCAGTCTTATATAGACCTCCGTATTTATCCTTTGTGAATCAGATTCAAAAAGTTCGTCTCGCTCGTGTCTGCGCGCATAGCACGACATGACAGGGGGAGGGGAGGGGGTAATAACTTCCTCATTATCGTGCATACTATAGTGTGTCGGGCGTATTGATGTTCGGCAGGGTTCAGAGCCTGGCAGAGAGTGAGATTGGCAGGTTCGGGGTTGAGAAAAGAGCCCGTCTCATTGGCGTTATTCAGGGTGCAGCAACTGAGAGGCACCACTAATTCTCTGCGGCCGACTTCCTGCAGTCGCCACCACGACGTCCCATAATTGCTGCTTCCGTTTATGCCACAACAAGCGAACTGTAAATGGTCAGAATAACAACGACGCACGATTTCTCTTTTGATTTCAATAATAGAAATTAAATACATATATTAGCCAAGTAACAAGTGTTATAGATATCTCTTTCTCTCTTCTTTCTATTTACTTTTCAATTTTTATGAAAACCAAACAAAGGATTCTTTTTGCATAATATAAAACTTAGTAATAAAATATGTAACTTTAATAGACTTTTACTTTCTTATCAAAGTCTTCATTTTATAGTAATCTGTCTGGAAACTTTTGAATACTGCCGTAAACGATTTAATGCTCCTGAATATTTAATATAAAAATAATACAATAGAGAATCTTATGTTAACATTATATCTTTACTTTTAAATTCGATAGATGACAAACTTACCGTTGTTTGTGCAAGATCGAGCGCAGCCGTAAATTGTTCGCGTCCAGGTACGGCATAACTGCGTTGCAAAGCGCGTATCAAACGTGCCGGTCTTACGTCGATCCCTAGTATATGAGGCCAAAAAACAGCGATGATGCACACGGTGCACTCACCGAGCAGCAACAATATTATTGTTAAGAGATACTGAAAAGCATAAAAACAAAAGATCGATCCCAAGCTACTTATATTCTCAATTTTGCGCGTTATAATATACATCTATTTCAAATAATATTTCTTTTTACCTATTCATTTAATTTTCTAATTTAACACTACGTTAAAAAAAAAAACAGTTATTTTTATACACTTTATTACCTCATATACCATTAAATTTGTCGCTATAAAGAAACTACAAAAATTAGAACAATGTTTTAGATACAAAATTTGTATATATTTTATTTTTATTAAAATTTTAAAATAATACTAATATATATTCGTTCCTTAAATGCATTCAATTTGACGTTTTGCAACTGGTGTTTAAGTAGTGTTAAAAATGAGGAAAAATGGTAGCATTCATTTCCTCGGCGAACTGACTCTCATTCGTCCGAGCCACGAGCGAATAATTAGTGTTTTTACGCTGCGTTCGAACGCGCCCTCCTTTTATTTACGCGTGTATCTGTATACAAGCAGATCCGTTTCCGGGCAACGATGCATGACCGAACTCGAAGTAGGAAATCTGGTGTTTCAGATAGGCTCGACGAGCAACATTGTAGTTAGATTCACGAAAGAACGTCGCGCATGAAACACAACTGATTGACGCATTTAAACACATGTCGTATTTGCGATACGCAAACAAAGACTTTAAGCAAGTAATTCTTTTCTATTCAAATGCGTGAATACGACATCACGAGATATATATATATATATATATA